GATACTTGAGTTCTGGTTGTTACCCAAACTAATTGGCGAGCATTTCAGGGAATTCGGGTAGCACAAAGCGTAACTCTACTAAGAGCCAAATTTAAATTTTTCTAGGTGTGTTAACTTTTAGTTTATTAATGTCCTAAAAATTGGAAAAAAGTATTTAACAGACACTTTTACAGTATTCTGTAACACTTTCACTTAACTAGATTTTTTTTATTAGTAAAATACAGTAGTGTTTCGATTCTTGATGCGACAGAATCTTTGCAAATTTAGTAATAAATGTCATGACACATCAGGAAAAATGACAAAACATTTGGAACTTCCTAAAGCAATGAAAAAAGTGAGAAAATAGAAAGCAATTTGCCATTACATACATGTTTGATCCTGAAAAACCTTAAACTTGAAAGTAACTTGGTATGATTTTTTTTTTCTTGGTATGATTTTTGCTGCAACTTTCCTGTGGTGTCGTCAATATTTGGTGCTACTGCAGTATCGTCAGCATATGTTTTCACAATTGTGTTTTCTATTTGACGCACCTCTCTTGTAAAGAGTACATATAGTATTGGACCCAAAATACTGCCCTGAGGCACACCTGTTCTTATTTCTCTAAGTGTGGAATAGTCCCCTTCCTGTTTGACTCTAAATAATCTGTCGGTTAAATAAGGAGAGAGAATATCTACATATTGCCTTGGTAATATTTTTTCTAACTTGTATATCAATCCTTCGTGTCAAACCTTGTCAAAAGCCTGTGCCACGTCTACAGAAATTGTTGCACAAATTTGCTTTTCCTTTAGGGCTTTTTTAATAATATTTCTAGATCTAAGAATTTGATCAGTAGTTGAATGTTCTGCTCTAAACCCAAATCGGTGGTTCGGAATTAATGACCTCTCCTCAATTATAGGTCCCATTCTTTTCAGTAATAACTTTTCAAAAAGTTTCGACTAAATCGGTAGCAGAAAAATTGATCTATAACACTTGGTCTCATTTAAAGGCTAACCAGCTTCTGGTATCATTCTTTCACATATCTAGTTGAAAGAAATCATTATACCCTTTGTTAACATTGTTATACCCCTTTTTGGTAATTGCTTCTCAGACGTAATCAAATCATAACCCAGCGCTTTCCTTGACTTTAAACTTTTTATTTCTTCCACTATTTTCTCTTTGTGCAAATGGAGCAATAACGTTTTCTGCTCTCTCATTTCCTATTGCAATACACCCAACTCTTTTTTTACACGGTAAATACGTTCCAACGAAAACCGTGTAAAAAAAGACATGCCATAATTTTAAAACCCCGTGTAAGATAAAAAAAAGAGTTTTAGGTTGACCTAAAAACAGTGCAAAAAAAGTAGAATATTAAAAACCAACAACTATATAATGAAAAAAAACATATACAAATTTAATGTATATTAATATTAAAAACAAAAACAAAATGCAGTTCAAACATATTATGATTAAAAAGTATAAAATAAATAAAAAACAAAATATAATTCAAACATATTAATATTAAATTTTGTTGTAAGTAAATCCAAACAGAAATTATATTGGCACTAAAACTTATAAAAAACAAATATTTTTTTCTTCAACACACTTTTAAATACAATTATGTGTACATTCTTAATGATAACGCAATTTTGAAAAACAGACAAATATAAAGTGCGACTAAAAAAATTCTGGAAATTTCCCCAGTTAAATTTTTTTTTTAACTGGGTGTACAAAAATTTTTTTAAATATCGTGTTATTATAAATAATTCGTGTAAAAAAAATATTTTTTTCTTTTGGTGGATCGTGTAAAAAGAGAGGTGGGAGTATTTATGTTTGCGTGTATGTCATTTATCTTAAAAATTTGTTCAAGAAAATCTGCAAATACTTCACCTTTATCCTTACTTTCTATTGCCCATTTGCCATCCGTTCCCCTAATAGGGAGGATATGTAAGATTGGCTTTTTATTATTTTTTGTAGCCCTCCATAAGGAATAATTACTTTCCTGACTGACAAATTTTTAATGTAATTATCAAATGAATCTTGGATTTTTCTTATTTTTCTTTTTAGATTCTGAGTGAGTCGATTGAGTGCAGTTTTATCTACCGGATCTCGTGAGTTTTGCCATTTACCACCCACGGATTTATACTCATATTGTTTTGTATTATTCCAGGCAGCGCTTTGTATGATTTTATTAAAATTCTCCACCTCAGAACCCAAATCATCTTGGGTTCGTACTTTAATTCTTAAGTTTATTTTATTCTCTATCTCTTTTTTAAAACTAGTTCAGTCAGTGGATTTATTAATCAACATGGGCTTATTTTGCTTCTTGGTAACTGTCTCAGTTAAATTAAATATAACTATAAAGTGATCCGAATCCAAATCAAAGCTATCTTCTAAACTAATGAAATTTGGCGAGATTTTCTTAATAATAAAGAAGTCTAGCAGATCTGGAATTTTATTTCTATTACTTGGCTATTAATTCTATTAATTGTATTATATGTTGGTCTAGCAGTTTATTGGTAGTGACAACCAATCTCTTTAATAGCTTTTCTTAACTCCTCTTGTTGAGGTCAATCTAGAACTCCAATCAATATGAGATTCAGGAGATCTTTGAATGAACTACTCTTTATAACACGTCGCGGAGGACAGTAAAGTACACCAATATCGAAATTTTGTTTATGAGACTCTATTTGTACAGCAACAAATCTACCTATCTGACTATCGTCTCTTTATACTTTATTTTATTTCGTTATGTTTTATATTGTTCCTTATGAAAATAGCGCAACTATCCTTTGATTCATTATTAGGATGCGCCGCTTTGTATTCTATGTAACCATTTATTTTTATATCTGTTTGCTGTTTTGAATGCGTCTCTGTTACTAAATATTATATCAATATTTTGGGTCCTTACACTTTTTTATTAAAAACGCTATTTGCGTTCCACGTCGCAATCCTTATTTTATCTTCGTCTAATATTTTTTATTCTTTTGGGCGTACAAACATAATCATTATCATGCTTGTCTGCTAATCGGCTCAATCTCAATGAGATTTCGTTCATAGTTCTTATCTTATTTTGCATCATTTGCATTATATTAGTGGTAGATCTCTTCGTTCTTTGTTATGGTTATATGTTTCACCCCTCGCCACTTGGGCATATTGTATTCCCTGCACTCTTTTACTCAGTGTCGCTCTTTTTGAGATTTTGGAGTTTTGGGAGTATTTTTTGGCTTTATTTTTATTTGTTTCTGTTTTGTAATGTTATTTTTTCTTTTTTGTAATTCCTTTGAAGACTATACAACCCCTGTAAGTCGCAGGATGTGCCAGTGAGCAATTTGCACACTTTGGAGCATCGATTTTTTGCTTACAACAATTTATCATTAAATGAGGACCAATTTTTAATATGTTCAGGTTGCCACGAAGAATGCAAACCTCTAGCCATCACCTTGATGGGTCTTGTCATTTTATTTTCGTAGGTACGCCACTCTTCTTTAGATACATTTAGTTTTTTTGTTAATCCTCTGTAATCTTGTTCTTTATCAACATTGATTTTAAGTTGATTGTTATTCATCATGTTGACCCTAAAATTTATTTTGGCTTCTTTTAGCATCTTCTTTATTTTTGGATATTCCTCCACATTGCTTAATATAACAGGAGGGGGTTTGATCTTTCTTGTAGTGCATTTATCTGCACAGATTTTTCTATTTTGGTCACCTTGTCCTCAGGTCTTATTTCAGGTGACATATCTGCTCTTCGCTTTTTCTCTTGAGAATCCAATCGGTTTCCCAAACCAGATTTTCCTCGTCTGTGCAATATTAAACTTTGTTTGTCGCAACTTTTTCCGTATTTATTTCTTTTTTTGCATTTACATTGCTTGTTTCCAATTTCAGCTTATTATTTTCCTTATTCTTATATTTAAGTGGCAGTTATCAGTTTTCTGATCCTTTATTCCATTATATGCACCCATGTTAATATTTTTCTGTTTGTCGCCTTTGGACATATTTTCTTTTGTTTACCACATGGTGGTGTTCGCATGATCCGAGGTGTTCTTTTAAAAGGGTCGGTAGTAGTAGCTACATGCAATAAGTGGTCTCCCCCAGAATCTGTGAGACAAGCCTCCGAAGAGTGTTGATTTTCCAGATTTACTGGATTACCACCTGGGTTAGAAAATCTTTTGTTTTGTTCATTGCATTTGTTTTAGTTTTATTTCAGAGTTTACTTCTCCTAGCCTTTGGCAATAAATACCTCGTCCAAGGCGGCACGCCTAATTTCTGCCGTCCCTCAGTGAACATCCGTACCAGACGCTTCTGGATTTGAACTGTATTTTAGTGGACTCTTACCACAAGCATTCCTACTGCGGGTATTTCGCACGCCCACCCGCCGGGAACTTGGTATGATGGTTCAATGTTTCATCCTGATGCGAAGCGACTTTCAGAATATTCACTCATATACTTTTGATTTAGTTTAATCTAATAGTAGCAATCAATAATTAATATGAACAAATTAGTACACGAATTAAGATATTTTTATAGAGTTTTAAAACCAAAGGAAACTAAAAAAAAGAACCGGAACGAAATGTTTGTATTTAAAAAGAAAAGAAACAAAGTAACGTTTCGTTATGTTTTGATCGAAGTAACTTACGCACTACCATCAAATTTTTGTTTTGAATTTATTTTATTTTCATTAAAAGTTCTATTTGAAACAAATAACTTGCTTTCACTTTCCCGTAGTATCTCTTTCTTTATGAATTGAAATTAACCTTTGAATTTGGTTCTTTGTGCTACTGTTATTCATTGAATTAGAGAGATAATAAAATGGCATAATGGCTTTGCAATTTTAGTAATACTGTACTGCTAAAAAATTCAATAACTAAAATTTATAAGCTGAATTGTGTATTAATACCGTATTACATTAATTTTAAAGTATTATGTTCTTATACACAACATTTATAAAGAATATTATTTGCTTTTAAAATTTATAAAACTATATTTATAAAACTATATTTAAACTTATATATTCTTTTTTAGTGAGAGCAATTCGTCAAAAAAAGAAAGCAGCTTTTAAAGAAAAATTAAGAAAAACTAATAAATACTAATAAAAACACAACATGAATCGAAAAACACCACAAGCTTCAAAACAGCAACAATTCCAAGTAAGTGATAATTCAATTTTAAAATTTTTATTTTAAAAACTGTATTTTTATAATTTTGCATTTTGATTATATTTTAAATTATCGTATTATACATCTAATTAACAACAGTATGAATAGAATGCAACTACTAGTTAATTATTAATATTTAAAAAAAAGAAATTAAAAAATTGACGGATCTGATGATGATAGCTTAATTTAAGATGTTTTTAATTCTTGAATTTGCATTAATTACAAACGATCATCAGTCAGTCCTCGCGAAATTGGGGCTAAGGGCGTATCGTAATAACCAAGCAAACAATTCTGAAATCATCGATTATGATTTTAGAAAAATTTTATGAAAATCTCAAAACTTCCATATACACATTGCCTCCTACGAACTAAAAAATTTTTGAAAATTTTTAATCTGTTGAAAGAGAAAGTATTTATTGAAAAGAATGATTTTAAATATTTTGATTTTTTTAATTTAATTTTTTTTTAGACTTTTAATTATGGTTTATATTGCACACTATATACTTTACACAATTGATTTTTTTTATCTAGAGTTGTATGCAAGTATTAAATTCTAAAATAAAGTATAAGTCAAAAATTGACGAAATTCAAAAGTGTTTTAAATTGTTTAAAAATGAAGAAGAAATATTTCAAATCATTAAAAAGGACCAATTGAGTCTGTTTTTTACCCTTGTTGTACATTGTATGGTGGATACAAAATGGGTAAAACAGAAAGAGGATAAGATTGAACCGATTCGACAATCAATTGAAAAATGCTTAAAATTTTTATGCGATATAAACTTAAATCATATTCGTGAAGCGCTACAATATTTGCTCACGACAAAACTTTGGTGTGATACTGATGATTTTGTTAAAATTTTAAATAAGGAGGAATTATCAAAAGAAGGTAATTTTCAAAAATATATTAGCATTTTGAATAAGTACATGCTATTTTTTATTTAGCGAAAATAAATTATTAAAAAAAATAGTAAATATTTTGATTTTTGATAAACTTATATCTATAGTTACGTAATTGTGATTTTTTTTAAAACAGCAAGTACTTGTGCATAATTATTTATTTTAAATCATTATTTTCAGATATATATATATATATTTTTTTTCTTTTTTAGATGAAGAATTTTTGAAAAAAGAAAATATGTACATTATTTTACTACGATTACAGTCGTTATTTGAATCAAATTTGATTGTATCAGTATTTCTAGTTTGTAATAAATTAAAATTGTTGCTAAAAAAATTAATACCTGATCAAACATTAGTAAAAACAACATCAAAACAACAGAAACATTTATTGACAGACATTTATTTTTGCTGTTTAGTAGAACTAAACCGAAATAAATTAGTATTAGAAATCAACAATATAAATAATGATGATTTATATAAAATGATAATTAGAAATTCTACTCTTAGTTCTTTAAATACATCATTGTCAGAAAAAAGAACGCAACTATTGGAAATTTCTACTAAATATTATGTTGCGCAAGTAACATTAAAAAATATAGATGAGTTTAATGAGAACATGATTCAAAAGTTTTCTAAAGTTTGGGGAATTCTAATTGAACAACACCGTGATGATAATTCCGTTGCAATAAGAAAATTTTTCGAAAAAGTTTTTGAGAAGGCACAGTCAAAACACATTGTTGTGGCTTGTGACGTGATGCGGAAATTGGTAAGTTTATATTAATTGTTACAAAATGCTATTTTTTTAAATAATGAGTTGTAAGTAAATAATTATGAAAAAAAAATCAATCGTTTTTTTTTTTTGCAGAACAAGGCTGATTGGAAATCACTACTATGGGAAAAAGTTTTTAGTATCATGACTACCAAAATAAACAAAGTAGAAAAAATGAAATATTCAAATTCGATATCGGCTGATATAGTAATAAAACACGAGGAAGATTTAGCGTTTTATTACAAAATTTTTGCAAATTTTTTAAAAGATATTAGTAAACACTTATATCGTGAATGTTTATTAACGTTATTTTCACTAAATCCATGTTATGAAGTCGCTAATCTTGTCGATAATGAAATATTTGATATTTTATCCGAAAAATTTAAAAATTTAAATTTATTAAAAAAAAATATAAATAGTACTAATAATGCAAATGAAGAAAATGAAACGTCAAACAACAATAAAGTATTGACATTGGAAAATCAAACAAATTCATCAATATCACAAACCGAGACAAAGCAATCAATATCAGGCAATGCGATGGAATATCAAACAATATCAAAAGCTGAATTATTGGAATTATCATTATTTTTTGATTCAGAACTGATTCCAGAAGGTTATATATTAGAAGCAATTGAACTTGCCTATTTACCAGAAGATACAATTGGGGACGTTATCAATGTGTTGATGTCACCACGTTTAAAGTTATTATCATGGTCATTAAATGTTAACGACTTAAAATGTGTTATGAAAACTTTATTAGATCCAAAAGCTAAGTATATGTTTACAGCAAGAAATTTGGCCGATGCAAATGATAAGTTAACTCATGTTAAAGTTGATTCAAGAGATTATTTACATTTACCATTGTCACTTGAATTTCCTGGTATCGAAAAAGGTTACGAAGATTTCGAAACTAATTCTAATGATGATGAGGATAATGAAAATGATGACGGAGAAGATATTGATGATAATGCATCATCAACATATTCAGAATATAATTACGGAAATAATTATAATAATAATGGTAATAATAATATACATATTGATAATATTCCGTCTGCCAATGTCATGAATATTGAATATAATACGAAACGTACACGAAAAAATAATTATACAATTACAACATATAATAAAAACAGTAATAAAAATAAAGACAATATTACTATTGATAATAATCAAATTGATAACAATATTAATAATACTACAAATGAATGTGATAATCCTACTGTATTAAATGAAATTAATAGAATTAAAACAAATAACAGCAATGAGAATATGAAAACTGTGTCAGAATTGTTATCTAATAATAACGTAATGAATTTTGAAATTGATCAAAACAATGCGAGTGAATTGGAAAATTTAAATAAACAAAATTCATTTGTTCAAGAAGGTTAGCTTTTTTCATATTTCGTAATTTTGTTTTTAAAATAATTTATGAATTTTTTAATTTAAGTTTATGCAAAAGTTGATTATCAAAATGCGCAAGATGATAAAAATACATGTATGGATACTATTTTACATACATTAAATGATACTGATAATCCAAAAACAAGTGTTAATAATGATTTAATAAGTACTGATCAAACAAATATATTCCATCGAAATACTGATGACAATATGGAACTATTAGAAAATGATGCGGAAAAACACCAACCAATATTATCTACAATTAGTACAACTGAAATTTCAGCTAGAAGAAATGAATGTATGGACGTAGATGAATTAATTGATATGAGTGAACTATTTGGATTACCATCAATATCAGACACGTCAAAGCAGAATGAAATGACATATAATCCAACGTATGATCAACCTACGTCATCCTCATCAATAAATCGAGATCAAGAAAATAGTAGTGTAAGTAGATAAACAGTGTAATTATAATAACTAAATACAATATTTTTAGTTGTGTAAGTTTAGGTCGTAGGTGGCAATGTTATCATTTCATATATAGAGGGGTCTTCGGCTTATTTTTTAGTCAAGAAATACTTTAGTATAATTTTATAATAGCAAATTGGTTTAAAATATTCTAAAAATATGTAGTTTTTAGTGGTTTCAAACAAAACTATTTCCAAAAGTAAATTCAAAAATTTTAAAGAAGAAAAATAAATCTGCAATCGAAAGTCGTGTGAATCAAATATCCTCTTCATTTTTATTGCAAATAATTATCCCAAGCATTATATTTTCCTACAAATTTTATGAAAACAAGTTTCCAACTAAATTTTTGAAACTTAGTTTATCATATATTTCGAAATTTTAGCTTTGTAATAGATAATGCAATCAGTATAAACCTCTATTCGTAGTTTGTCGATCTAATGAAAATAGGATAGGTAAAGTTGTTTTACTCTTTATCTAATGTAACATTTATTACAAAAACTTTTTTGCCATAATGCTTCTAATTTTTTGTTTCTTTTTTTCCATTCCTTTAGGAGGAGTTCCCAATGCGTACTAGAGAAAAAAATATGAAACCAAGTAAGACTTTTTTATATCAAACAAAAATCAGAAAAAAAATTAATTTAATTTCTCTTCAACAGCTCCAGGTCCTTCACGACGTAATCTTGCACCTGAAAACAGGACAGGTACAGGTAAAGAACTTATATTTAGCATTAATAAGTTATTTGATGCAAAAGATAGTAGATGTTATAATAAAAGTAATAATGATATTTGTAATATTATTGATTTTAATGTCAAAAAATCCAATTATAAAATTGCTTTAATCAATGATGATAGGGACAGTAATAACAAGACTAGGGATAATGATAATAATAGTAATAATAAAAATAATAATATTAAAATAAGTAATGATAACAGTAATAATAGTATAGAAGGTAATATAAATATTTATAGGGAAATCGATGAAATAAATAGTAGCAATATTAATAACGTCAATAAAAATAAAATTTACGGCAATAATAATAATAATAAAAATGATAATAGCAGTAATAATAATATTATCAATAATAATAATAATAGTAATAACAGTAATAATAATAATAATGACAATAGTAATTGTAATAATAAAAATCATAATGATGACAGTAATAATAATAATAGTCATAATAACAATAATGTTAATAGTAAAAATGATAATAATAATAGTAACAATAATAATGATAATAATAATAGTAATAATAATGATGACTGTAGTAACGAAAATATAGAAAATGTTTCAAAAGAAACAAAAGTGAGTTCAACCAACAAAGAAAATGTTTCAAATAATAATACTAAAAATAAATTGATGGAAAGTTTTGACTGTACGTTATCAACAACAAAGGGTATGTTAAAGAGAAAATTAATTCCCACATCTTCATCTACCGCGTCTGTAGTTAAGGAATATGGTACTGATTTTAAGAAAAAGCAAAAGAAAAATATAAATTATGAAAAAAAAGATGAGAATGATGGTAATAATGATATTAATATTGAAAATAGAATTCCTAATAATTTGGGTGGTAATTTTTGCAATAGTAATACTAATGATAACAGTAACAATATATTTTATGAAGATAATGGGACTGATATAAAATGTAAAAATGAATTGAACAAAAAATTAAAAAAGCTTGTTATTACAGGCTTAAAAAGTCAACAATTATCATTAATTTATGATTCTAGCACAAGTTCAGCCAGTTATGATAATATACAAAATATTAATAGGAATTTGATATTAAGTGATTTGGCATCTTCAACGTTGTCATCATCCTCATCATCATCATCATCTTCATCATCTGTAACATCATCATCACTACCATTAGTAAAATTAAATGAAAAGTATCAACGTAATTTTTATAATATTGATAATATTACTAGGGAATCATTAGTTAAATCCGCATTAATTAATAATATACATATTAATTTAAATACGCTTAATTATGATATATTATTAAAAAATAAAATTAGTGTTATTGTTGATAATTATTTAATACAACATCCAATTGTTTTGATTAATAAATTAGATAACGAAATTTTTATGGAAAAATATAGAAAATTTAAATGTCAGTATTACAAAAAATTTGTTGATATAAAACCTAATAATAATAATAATAATATGAACTACAGTAAACAAAATAAAGATGTTATGAGTGATCAATCATATAATAATTATAAATTTGATGATGATATAGAAAATGTTAAAGCTTTAAAATTATCAAGTTTGAAAAGAATTAACTTAAAATCCAATGGTATTTTACCACAAAATATTAATAATAATTCAACAATAATGAATAATATTGAATGGAAAAAACAGTTTGATAGAAACATCCTTAAAAATTTAAATGCTATTAAAAATAAAAATAAAACACAAAATATTACCAAGAATAATAATTATAAAAATAATTATAATAAGGCGAATAAGAATAACAAAAATAGATTAGTTAAAACAAAAAGAAAATCAAATTTAATAACAACAACATCATCGAAAGATATCAATAAAAAAACGATTATAATTAACAGAAAAAAGAAAAATAATCATAATTATATGAAAAATGTATTGAAATTTTTAAATGAGAAGATGACATCAAAATTACATTATATCAATAGACAATTAAGTGATGACATGTACTTATCATCATCATCATCATCATCGTCCTCAAATTCAATGATAAAAGAGTCAAATAAAAATTCAATCGAGTTTTTAAAATATAAAATAAAAGACAATCATATAATTAATGATAAGAATAAAACAGCATTTAATAAATTGAAAAATTCAAAACTCAAAAAAACTATTCGTACCAATAAAGCAAATAATGTTAAATCCATTAATAATAATTGTAATAATAATAATAATAATATAACTGATAACATATATAATTCTAATAATAGTAATTCAAATCATAAAAATGTTTGTGATAACAATAAAATTAATATTAAGGATACTAATCACAAACATTTAAAAAGAAATTCTGATTATATTGAAAATGTATTGCCATCAAGTTTATCTCTCACTACTACAACTAATATTAATATTACAACTATTTCTATTACAACTGCATCTACTACAACTATACCTACTACAACAAGTTGTGCTGATGTTATTACTGGTACAAATAATGGTATTAACGCCGATACTATTGCTATGACTAATAAAATTGAGTTAAATAAAAGTTCAATCCCAAAGGGCTTAGTTAAAATATCAAATAAAAAATTAAAAATTCATACTTCAAAAATTGAAAGTAAAAACCAAAACATAGAAGGAGAAGAAGAGGAAGAAGATGAAGAAAATGAAGAAGATGTTGAAACAGAAGAGGAAGAAGAAGATGAAGAGGATGAAGAGGGTGAAGATGAAGATGAAGATCAAGACGAAGATGAAGATGAAGATGAAGATCAAAATCAAGATCATGATGAAGATGGAGATGGAGATGAAGATGAGGATGAAGATGGAGATGAAGGTGAAGATGAAGATGAAGACGAAGGCGAAGATGAAGAAGAAGAAGAAGAAGAAGAAGAAGAAGAGGAGGAAGAAGAACATAATGATGATGGAGGAGAAGAAGAAGTCCCAAAACAACAATCCAATCAACGCAAAAAAAAGACTTTTGATAAAGTATTTCACAACAACTCAATATTAGGGAATAATGATGATAATGAATATGATGATATTAACGATAGCAAATTCAAATATTTTAACCTTGACCGTAAAAATAGAAATAGGATTAAATTAATAAAGAAAAAATATAAAAATGTAACTACATCATCATTAACCCGTCTATATAAAATTAAATTAAAAAATACGAAAATAAAACAAGAAGTAAGAACAAATTACATCAAAACCAAAAAAGTATCATCATCATCATTTTCATCGCTAACATCACCATCGACACAAACATCAGCTATGTTTAATAAACAATCATCCTCATCAGGATCCTCATCAAATATGTTATTACATAGCAACAATGAAATTATTTCAAAGAAAAATTATTCTACTAAAAATGATCTTTTGAATGAAAAACATTATGAAAATATAATCGGTAAAATAGGTTTTAATAAAAATGATATAAAAAAAGAAAATAAATCTAGTAAATTACTATTATCCAGTATCTCAAATTATAAGAAATATACTAAAAATGGATTGAAAAAAAATTTTTCGGCCAAAAATTCCATAAAAGATTTCAGTAGTAGTAATAGTAAAATTTTATCTTTGAAAATTGAAGAAATTGATGAAGACAATATGGAAGATCAGTTGTTATCAACAACAACGGTACAAACCAATGAATTTAGTATTAATAATGTTGATAATGAGGTTAATGATCATGCTGATGATGATGATGAACATGTATATTTTCATGATAAAACATATTATAGTAATGATGATTACAGTAATCGTCCAATTTCTATTGTTGAATGTGATAGAAATGATAAAACAAGTATTAGACACAAAAAAAATAATTCAACTGATATAAGTAATAAAAGCAGTATAAATATGATAACAAATAATGTTAATAACTATGATATTGATGACAGTGAAGAGGAAGTAATAAAAATCAAAAGCAAAGTTTTTATGGATAAAAAACAAAAAATAAATAATAAAATGTTACCACCTAAAAATTTATCTAATCATAAAAATTTAAATAAAAAAAAATTACGTCAGGATCATAATTATGAAAAAAAGAAAAAAGAGCAGGAAAAAGATGAAAAAATTTGTTTTTATAATGAAAACGTTAATCAAAGATGTCAAAAGTCACAAGAAAAAGTTTGTTCAATAAATTTATCATCAACGAAACTCTTAAATCATAATAATCATAATTGCGATAAAAAAAGTCATAATAATAATAATAATAATAATAATAATAATAATAATAATAATAATAATAATAATAATAATAATAATAATAATAATAATAATAATAATAATAATAATAATATTAATAATAATATTAATATTAATAATAGCAGCCATAATAACAGTATTATTAATAATAACGATTTCAATATTGAAGATATAAATTTATTTATAAGTGATGAAAGTGATTTAGAAAGATTTTCATCTGATTCTGAATATAAACCATCAACCAAATTAAAAGATATACCATCAAAGCGTTATAATAATGACAAGGAGTTACGTTCAAGTAGATACCGTAATAATTTTTCAATATATTATGTTTTCATAAATTCAAATTATATAAATTTTTTAAATATATGTAATAATGGTAATATTAATTACAATAATCATGAAATAAATTTTAATAAAAAAGTACATAATTATAAAAGAAATACTAAATTTAATAATATTATTAAAAAATTATATTATTTTGGTATTATGGAATATGATAATTTATTATTTGAGCAGAATTTTAATATAAATGATAACAACAATACGAAAAATATTCATAATTATAGTAATAAAAATAATAAGAATGGTAATATTAATAATAATAATAATAAGTCAAGTAAAGATTTATATAACAATATTGAAATCATTAAAAATGTTATTCGTAATATTGATAATAATATAAATAATTATATTAATAATAATAATGCAAATAATAATAATTATGATTATAGTACTAATGATAATAACTTAGTTGATATAATCCTTCAAATTTCAATATTGAATTTAATTAAAAATTTTAAATGCAGAAAGAAGAAATATTTAAATAAAAATATTGAATTTAATAATAATAATATTAAAAATAAAAATAATAATAATAGTATTAGTAATAAAAATAATATTATTAATAATAATATTATAGTAATAATTGACATAGATTATAGTTTTAATAATATTATTAATTTGAATATAATATGATATGAAATATCAGTATATTATTAAAAAATTAGGCGTACAAATCATAAATAAGAATTACCATAACGAGAAAAAATATTAGATAATTTAGAATTTTTTAAATTAAATCTATTTTTATCATTATTTTTTATTCCTATTGTATGTATAAATATATATACAATAGGAACATGTATATATATAAATATATAAATAAAACAAAAAGTAGAAAAGGAAGTAATGAGAATTATTTAATGAGCTTTATTATAAAAATTAATCAAGCGTGCATATTAATGATTGATAATATAATTAGTTTATCCATATTATTGTTTTATTGAATGTAATTTTTAATAATAAGTTTAAACATACATTTTATTTTATTTGATCTTGTTGATTTTACTTAACTTAATATTGTAGATTAAGCTGATCTAATTTGATTGATTAGAATACATAGTTTAAACAAAATTTATATTGACATAAATCTAAAAATAAATTTTGTTTAATAGTAAAAGCCAAATATTAAAATATATAACGCAGGGAATAATTTTAGGTGTACAATTAAAGATTTAAACTGATTATACTTGACAAAAAACGATTACCAATATTCTCTTAAACGTATTAATTAAGGTTCTAAGGCAATATGTTTTGATATATATATGTTAAAAATAAATATTTATATTTAATTTACAAAAGAAAATTAATTATAGAATTTGAATTAATTTTGAAAAATTCATTAAAAAATAACACACAAAAAATAATGCTTTACTAAAATTTTTTGCAAAAAATTTATATATGACTTCTCGATTGGTCAATAATTTTTCTTTTCTATTGTCTTTGATTTTACATTTGCATTAATAATATTGTATGCTATTATATATATTGTATATAATAGCATACAATATTAAAAAAACAAATATAATTTCCAAGTCGAAAGGTTTTAGGTTTGATATCTATAATAAATTTATTGGAAATTCTACACATTTCAAAAAGATAAATCCTTGTAAGCTATATTTACTTATAAATGTTTCAATTTCTGAGTAATCAAAATTTATTGTGAAAGCACAACTAGTATTTACATTTAGATACATGATAAAGACCAGTTAAGTTGAGTTTAGAGCTGCATTTTTAGTCGACGCCTACTTTTGAACAGCGCGGTAATAATGTATTGCTACATTAATCAGAATATGCAACAATCGCAAGATTAATTCAGTATAAATAATTTTTTATCATAATTTAAAAATCAGATATTCATACTTTATGATAAAATGTCAAAATGGAACTAACTAAAAACACGGATACCTTTTAACATTATTAGGCTTTTACAATTAGAAGGTTTTAATATTTTTTTTACTAAATATCACAAATTTTTTAATTTTTTTCCGAAATGATAGTCATTGTTGTTTATAAACTAAAAAATTGTGAAAGAATTAAAATTTAAAAATTGTATAAAATTAAATAGAAAATAAAAAATAATAATATAAAACCTTTCCATTTCTGCAAATACGAAAATCACTTCACGAAAATCGAATTACATAGTAAGATCTCTTTACTATCAGTCTTATTCTACTAGACGCGTCACATTTTTTTTGGCAATTTGCATTTTTTTTTTGGTATTCTAGGTACTAGACGCAAAATTCAATGTGAAAGAAGAAGCGAGAGTTGAAGTTTTTTTATACTAAAAAGTTAGAAGATTGTTTTTTTTTAAACTGGTGACACAAAAAAGTATAAATAACAACAAATAGTAAATTAGAGAAAGATGTCTTTGGACTTTTTTGGTTTTTTGAGTAAAAGTAGAAGCAAAAGTGAAGAAGAAAATTAAGAAAATTAATTTTCCATCAACTCGATAAAAATTTGAAACAGTTCTCGATTGGTTAATTTTATACTGGAATTAATAAAATTATTCAATAAAATAATTTCTTCAAATTTTTTCAGCAAGTCCGTGACTGTTAATAATGCGCTTAAAACGTAAACTTTACAAAATATCACATTCCAAAAAGTTTAGTAAAAGCTCTTGACATAGTACACTTTTCATAAATGTGTTCTATACGTAATGGGTACGTAAAACAAAAGTAAATCGGGCAGAAAAAAATCATGTATTAATAAGCCTTTTCATATCGCGATATATGTATAGCGAGAACTACGCAATATTTGTATTCATAAATAAATGTTGCTAATCAAGTTTGTTCATTAACATTGTTAATCTATCACAAAAATAATTATCATGGCTAGCGGAATTAAATCAGTTGTATGGTAAATTCTTAATCGTCAAATTTTACAAAATCTGAGTTGTCTGAGTTTACGAATACTCTACTGCGTTTTTACTTTCATTCAAAGTTTAAATTCTTAAACGTTTATAAAAAGTCAATTAAGCGTCAAAATTGTAGATTTTTCTTTTTACATGCAGACAGTCTAAGGTAGTAATTCAGTAAATAAATTTGATGTATTGAGTGACTATCATTACATTAAAAATAATATAAAAAATATTTTTTTTGTTAATTTTTAATATGTAAGTATAAAATTATTTTAAATCTAAAAATAATTTTTTTTTGTTTTGACGTTTACGGATGATCAAAATTCAAAGTCAATTACGGGTAAAAAGTTTACTACATTTCTGTCCGTAAAAGTTTTATACGTCAGACAGTTTGCAGACTGAAAACAAAATTTTGACGTTAAAGAAGTTGCGGGTACTTTCTTTTTACTATTTTTTGCAGTTTGGTTTTATATTTTCGATTGTTAATTGTTGTACTTAAATAAAACAAAATTTTTTGTTTCAGTTTTCTGTTTTTGTTTTTCATCATTTTTATTTTCCTGAAATAGAATTTTCCATTATTTGGCTGAAATGAAATTTATTTTTGCTAATGACAGTTTTTGTTCATGAACACAATACTGAAAATTCAAAATAGCAAAAGTTTTTATGCAACTGTCAAAAATATATTGCGTATGTATCACATTATTGTTTTGCAATATTGTGTTTATGAAAATCTTTAATGTTGCAAAAATTGTATTCCAAAATGTATCAAAAATTTTAACAGTTTTTTTTAGAACCTAATGGTATTGAAAGCTCTGAGACAATCGTACCTAATTTTTTCAGGAAGTTTTAAGAGCAGCTTTTTATGAACTACTTTAAAAACTTTTTTATTTATCTTACTCGAATCTAGTGATGAATTTTCAGAAAAGCCCTTAAATCTGACAGAAAAATTGAACAATTTTAAAAATTGCGTCTAGCAGAATAACATAATGGACGCTTTTTGTGACAAATAGGGAAACGCGTGTCTAGTAGAATAGCAGAGCTCTCACCTCACACGTTTTTATATCCGACGCGTTAGAGGAAAATAAGGAAAATGAATTTTTCATTAACTCGATAAAAATATTAAATTACTGCCGATTTTACTACTTTTACATCGGAATTAAAATTACTCAATACTGCTATTAAAATATTTAATACTTATCTTCTCCATTGTCTTTAAATTTTATTTTTCAGCAACTTTTATGCCTCTGTCGGCAACAAAATATACGCGACTAAATTTGACAAAAATTACAAAATTTTCAAAAATACGTCTAGCAGAATAATATTATGGGCGCTTTTTGTGACAAATAGTGAGACGCTTGTTTAGTAGAATGGCAAATCTGTCACCTCACACATTTTTATGTGCTACACGTCTAATAGAATAAGGTTGATTGATTTGTGCTAACTTACCATTTTTCCGAATTCGAAATTTGTTGCACGAAAACCGAATCGAAATCGATAAATTTTATTGGTATTTGGTAAATTCTTAAACGTCAAATTTTACAAAATCTGACTTGTCTGAGTTTACGGATACTCTACTACGTTTTTACTCTCAGTCAAAGTTTAAATTCTTAAACGTTTAAAAAAAGTCAATTAAGCGTCAAAATTGTAGATTTTTTTTTTTACATGCAGATAGTCTGACGTAGTAATTCAATAAATAAATTTGATGTGTTGAGTGACTATCATTACGTTAAAAATAATATAAAAAATATTTTTATTGTTAATTTTTAATATGTAAGAATAAAATTATTTTAAATCTAAAAAAAAATTTTTTTTTGTTTTGACGTTTACGGATGATCAAAATTCAAAGTCAATTACGGGTAAAAAGTTTACTAGATTTCTGTCCGTAAAAGTTTTAGTTTCAGACAGTTTGCAGACTAAAATCAAAATTTTGACGTTAAAGAATTTGCGGATTACCTTATCACTTTTGCAAATACGAAAGTCAAATTACATAGTGAGCCCCCTAAGACCGAATTTTTAGTAATGCAGAATTCTCATTATAAATGCCAATTGCTGGATTGTGTATCTATTGATACGATATTACAGTTCCGATATCAGATAACCACATGATTTTATTCATGACTGTGAATCCCATCAATCTTAGCTTTATATTTACGATGATAAAACTTATATTCCTCGTAATTATAATTATTTATATCAATTTAATGACAAGTTGTTAAAAAAGTACAATTTTAAAATTATTTGCCTATTTTCCTTTGAAATAAAATGTAAATCAAAAAAGCGGAATTTAGTATAATTCTAAATTTCAAATTAAAATATATACTTATCCTTTTTTCTTTGAATTCGAAATCAATTTCGACTTTTCGATATAAACTGAAAATAAAAAATGTTGCATATTTGTTTGTATAATATGTCAACGAAATTTTATTATTAGGAATCAAATAGTTTTTCTCACAATTTTACAATTAATTTGAATCATTGATTTCAGTTGTATGTGCAAAATGAAAATTTTCAGCTTTTTTTCTTAGTTTAGAAGCACGTGATAACCAAAACTTAACTGCAAAAATTCACAATCTTAATCAGTTCTCAGATTTATGAAGAACTTAAAATTAAAAAAAAAAATCCAATTACACTGCTGCTATCCTGAATTCCGTTGATTTAATAAAAATGAATAAAAAGAGGTTATGCCACGATTATAGAAATGTCAATGTACACTTTATACACACAATTAAATTAAATTATAATAGAACATTTCTTTTATAAAATTTTTTATATTATACAGGATTTAATAGAATAAAAAGAATTTATTTTCTTTATTTTAAAAAAAATTAGTTATATATTTAAACTTACCTTTAACAACATACCTGTATATATTATAATATAGTTTAACAATTTAAAGTCATTAATTCAATATTATTTCAATTAGTAAGTGAAGCAATTACCGTATACTGCAAAATTCTGATTTCAAAGGTAGTATACTTTGAGAAGAATGTATGAGAGAATTTTAAGGGCGAGTTTTATATATTTTTCTTTTATTCACAGAGCAAGTACCTAAAAAAATTAAAATGATTAAATGTTAATATATTTTTTTTTATCTGTATCAATTGTACATATTGAAGTACATACGCTTGCTATTAATAAAAATTTTAAATTTAAATAAAAAATCTCGAAAAATCTCCTAAATTTAAATAAATTTAATCTCGAAAAATCTCCTCTGTATTGATGTAGAAATTTTTTATATTAAAAAAGAAATAAATACATAAAAAAATATTCACCCTCTATTGTGTATTTTCTAAACGAATTTATTAATTTGTATTTATATTTAAATTTCACATAATTTCAAATTGATTTTAATTTAGAAAAAATATTTCATTTTTTGAATTTAAATTAGTCATATTCATTCCAAAATGGTGCGGAGAGAAATCAATATGGCTGAATTATTTTTTTTTTTGTAGTTTGTCCAGAATTTATTTAAATTTTACAAATTTCTGTTAATTTATTGAAATTATTTAGCAATATTTAACAAATTAATTAGAGAATACTTTTATTTATTTAAAATATTACCATAAAAAAACTACGCGTCAATTGAAAACAAGATTATTTCAATGCAAACAAAATTTGTACGGTACACGTGTTATTTGAATTTATTTTACAATGACGCATTAATTCATTCCAAAAAAAATCTTTCCATTTTGATTTTAAAATCTTACTATTTCTAAAAAAATTATTTTTCTACACACATCACATTTCCGATTTAAATTAAAAGTTCAAACAACAAAAAAATCACTATATGAATACAAAAAACGGCTTGGCTTGTATATGAAAAAATTAAAGAAAAAAAAAAAATTATTTTTAAATTATTGAAAAAACAAAAAAAAAGCAATTACTTTGTTGCTAAATTTCCACTCCGCTTCTGATGATCTTCGTTTTATTGCTCGGAACACATTAAAACAACACATTTTATTTTAAGTACAGCTTGGTCTGGTTAACGTGTAATACGAGCATTTTTTTCCGTCTTATGGTTTTATTTACTGTATAATATTTTTTGCTCAAAATGTTGTTTTATTTACAATAAATTATCATTGCTTCTTTATTACTTTGTACATCTACATAAGTAATCATATATTATATGATTATTACCATATAACACCCCTGGAAGTAGACACTAGGAAAAATATGTCTACAAAAGTTTTTCATTTCTTCTTTAGTCTTTTTTTTAAGTATTTTAAAGTTTCGGCTTCGAAAGATGAATTTGAAGCTAAATCACATTTGTTTTTGTTTTTATGTAATTTAAAATCCTAATAATTTAAAATCCTAATAATATTTATAAAAACTTGATTTACAAAAGGCCTTTTTTCAAAACTTCATCTATTTTAAAATTATAGTAAAAAAGACGATTACAAAAATGCAGAATT